TAACCCTATCTCCTTGAAGACATATTCATACGTGGGGAAGCGCTCCTCGTAAGCCAAGTAGATGTGATCCTCTCCAAAAGGGAAATGCACCCTCCATTCTTCTTCCGGCCCAACCGTCGTAATGAAGTCCCCGGTATTAGAGACAAAGATGAACGCGTGCTCCATAGGTTCGGCCACGGTCTATTCATCTGCCAGCGATAACACCGTTGATGTCCCCACAATCTCGAGCGACGAAGAACTGTCATTTGTATCTGTGCTCTCCAAGGAGCCATCCTTGGATGAATCCCTGTAGTGATCTTCTCCTTCTCTACGCGACATCCCTTTTACCTTAAAAGCAGAGGAAAACAGTGAATTCGATGGCCAAATCAAATCCATCATTTCACTGCTAATCAAGTAAAAGGGCGCGCGAGGGCCGAGGAAGAGCATCCCCGATCTAAGCCTTACTCAAATGGCGCAGCTATCCAGGCGGGGAAGTCTCCGACCGTTCTACCTAAGGCATCAGGGGATAGCCCACGGTCACAAAATCCAGTGGCCTCTCAGGGAAACCACGGTAACATCAATAACCTAACAACAACACGACTACGGATCACCTGAACCTAAAGGGTGGCAACCTACCCCTCCTAAAGGAGGCCGACTACGCCGTCGGCGGTAGACAGATGGTCCTGCCACCATCTACCATCAGCACCACCATTGAATAAACCTGAACTAAGATGTTCAATCCTAACCACATGTAATCTAAAGAGCTTAAACAAATAAAAAATAGAAAACAAGCAACAGATAGAAGTACTTACATGGTCGAGGAAGATGAACTGGAGGGAATGCGAGTCTGGTCGAGCCTCGTACGGTGGTCAGAGCAAAATAGACGGTGGCGGACGGAGGTTGCAGAAACGAGCACAATAGAAGAAGGAAGTAAAAGTTCTGAATGAACGGGCTCCTTCGCTATTTATAAGCAGGCTCCAGGCACGTGCGCGAGCAGGCGCTCATAAGGCATCATCGTGACCCTAGCCTAGTCATCATCACGCATTTAATGCAGCACACGGCTTGAGGCACACATGGCATCCCCACTTTTCAGATCCCATCAATTGTTGGGCTCCCTGGGTCTTAAGATCCCCGGCACCACGGCCACGAGTAAGTGGTCACCCAAACACCAAGAAACGTACGACGACTCTGCCCGGAGAGCAGACCACCCTTAAGTCATCACTACCATGCTCGGTAGCAACGACTTGGGCGGCTACTATTCCATACTGGCCCAATGGTTGGGCATGACCCAATCCACTTCTGCTCCCATAATGGCCCAATTGGCTAAGTCCAACCTCGTTGGGGGAGAGTTTATCCTTCTGCCCCTCCAACAAGGGAAGCTGACCTATATACCCTTGGTCACAGTACTTCTCCCCGTCAATCTCTGCCTGTCACATACGGTCCCACCATCCAGAAACAGTCAAGACGCTAGTGCCCGTAACTACGCCTCTGTCCGTGCCAACGGCTAGTTATAGGCACGTCTGCCCGTTCCAACGGCTAGTTATAGGCACGTCTGCCCGTTCCAACGGCTATTTCTGACAGTTACCTATTCTTCGGAAAATGGTTATCTCACCCTGAAAATAGGGACAAATAGCCAAGCGTTGGGGGAATTATTAAAATCCTCTCAGTTTAGAGGGTCAGGTATCTAATTTCTTACCTAAAAACACATATTTCGTATTTGCTCGCTCTCTTGCTCGTTTTCTTACTTTAGCATCGGAGTGCTTTGCAGGTACACCCCTCCTCCTCTTTTACGCCCAGCATCACAGGTGTTCGTCTTCGGTCCATCTCAGATTCTGATTATGCGGTAAGATCAACATTATACAAGACTAAAAAAACAAATGATATCATTATGTGTAGCATAAGTTATTAGTCAAACTCTGTAGCTAATCTGCAATGAATTTATTTTCATCATACAACACATGATAATGTGTTGATCGACTAGTCCCCTGCAAAAAGAAGACGTCCAAATGCAAATAACACAGAACTGTCAAAAGGCGATTATGCAACAAATAGTAAACAATGGCATAAAGTTAAATGATATAGCTAGTATTACCTGAATTTCAGCATGGTTGTTAAGGTAAAGTCAAATTCCCTAAGGTGGTGAGTGTGGAAGAAGAAAACACAATAATGAGGGAAGTGATCATACAGATTTAAAATATAGCAGAAACTTTTAGAAATGTATTTACGGAACATTCTGACACCTTAGACGTTCCAAAGGTGCATTTACGAAATTTCTCTGAATTGAATTATTTTAAAGATTTTCCCAACGTTTACCAGTTTAAAATGATTTCGTAAATATAATTTCAGAAAAGACCAAATTTTAGTAAAAAGAATAGTGCGCCCAAATATGTATTTTTAGAAGCAAAAGGGCATAAAAAAATCGTTAAATATCTAAAAGTATCTGGAGTGAATTAAAAAATTCCCTTATTTAATGCAATCCATATATTATTTAGGATCAGTTCCCTCCCTATATTTCAAATTTAAGAAAAATAAAAAGGATACTGATTCAATACTTAGTGGATCCACACCCACCAAACTTTTAATGTATTTTTTAGATGTGTTTTTCTCTCTCACTAAATGCAGTTTTATAGTACCTCCATGGCTCCAGCTATATTTATTTTTGAATAAACTACAAAATATAAAACAAAAACTCAAAAAATTCTAGTATTAAATTGTACATCTATTCTAAATTATATGACGGTTAAGATAATTTGCAAGTTTTTTAATAGTATTGAAAAGGAAACTTAAAGAATAAAAATGAACAATAAATTCTATAATAATTAAACACTAATATTTTATCAGAAATAAATAATGATTTATTATTTAAATCAAATATAACAACTTATAAATAGAGAAAAGTACAGAGCATGTATGAAACCAAATGGAAGAATGCTGATCTGCTTTGTTATTAGTTGATCAATAAGGCAATTTGGTAAATTTTTATGTTTCATATATCTTTCGTTTGTGTGGAAATCATGAGTATAGGTCGCCGCCGCCGCCGCAGCACATATAACCTTCTATTGTTATTTGTATTTCCTTGCCGACATACGAAACAGCATTTTCTTAAATTTACTTAGAATTTGTATGACTTTAGTACATGTTTATTTTTTAAGATAGAAATTTAGATAATATTTCTATAAATGTATTTATTACATATTGTAAAAAAAATGTAAATAATTAAATATAAATTGGTAACAAATATTTGATATGTTTTTAAAAAAAAAATTAAAACATTATAAAATGGAAGAAAAAAACTCAGAGAACTCAAATATAAAGGGGTTCCTACTTCCATAAATAATGTCGTATCTTGAATTTATTTCGAAGCAAATAATTGAAAATTGGGATAACACAATTTATTTAATTTATTATTTAATTTAATAAGAGGAGAAGCAAAAACGATCATTAACACTATTTTCCCCCACCAGTTCCCCAAGTCCACACAGATATGCACCTGATCTTGTCTTCCTTCTAGCTTTTTTCCCATCGGTTGATTCTGTTTTTTTTACAACATTGAGATGGTAGATCACATTGTACATTAAAACAGCTTCATTAAGCTCTCCATTAAAACCCAGAGCAAGGAAAACAAGATAAACCGGCATCTTAATCTTCCTTAAGCATATATCAAACTGCAATACCCATGGAAATCACACTAGATTAGAATCCGAAAAGGGTGTAGAAGAATATGTCAATATCAACTACTAGAATATATAGGAAAAGATGTTTAATTATTAAAAATATGAATCCTCCATTATTAAAAATATGATACACCAACTAATTAACCAAAAATAGATCCTCTCATATGGTTTTAATCATGTAAAATTGTGTCCATTGCTCTCTCTCTTCTTGATAAAATAAATAAAAGTCTCACATTGAATAAGAATAGATATGAAAATGTTCTCTCGATTCAAAGTTATGTTGTAATAGTTGAGTTAAACCCAATCCAAATTCTAAGAAGGTAATAGAGCTGGAGCCTGTACTTGGCAATCCGGCGACACACAGATTTGAACAGGTATAGAAGAATTGCTTTAATGTGAAATAACTCATCAAACACAGAACATTTGGTTCTTCCACTAAACAAAATTAGTTCCAAAAGTACTCATCGTGCAGAACTAGAACTCAAAAATCTTTCACGGGCAAATTTCATTTTAAACTATCATTCAAACATACAAAGTCAAACTCAAATCACTAAAACTGTGAGGACAACCACGAAATTTCAGGGTTAACATCTCATAAAAATGGATCAAGTTTAAATTAAATAGCAATACATTCTATTTCTATGACAAAAGCATTGATTCTGTAATAGTTAGCAATATATAATCCTTAAAACTTCAATGACAAAATCACAATGGCCTATAACTTACTAACACTCTTGCTTGGAAACCTTCTTAACGTGTAACAATTGTAACATTAGGTGTGTTTTGTTCTAATGTGATAACGATTTATTTTAAATAAATTGATTCACTAAAATTGATTCTTATCAAGTGTATGTTTGATTTAGTTTTTGGAAAAGACAAAATCAATTCTAGAAGTGTAGAATTTTTTGGAATGATTTTGAGATATTTGGTTCTTCTAAAGTAATTGATTTTGCCCTCCATAATTGATTTTACTTGAAGCTAACATTTGTAACTATTGAGTTTAAGTGAATTTTACATTAAAATTTAGTGATTAACACAGTTTGAATAAAGTTATCCAAACATAAATCACTTTACATTCAATTCAATTTAAACCCGAATCAATTCACTTAAAATCAGTTGTTATATTTGAATATGTTCATATAAAAGTGTTTTGAACAATAAAGTTAAGGTTTAAAATCAATTAAATCTACACTTCTAAAATCCCGGCCCCTCCTTTAAAAGTGGAATAACTAAAATAGCACCAACATTTGACTCAATCATCAACATTTTCAAGCATGAGTGATAAAAAACAATGTTGCATCTAAAGAGAGAGAGACATGGCCAGTTCCTTACCTTTGAATGTGACGCTTATCTTGAGAGAGGCTTCTGCAACAACACAGTCAAGTAAAGCTCCCCATTCTTGACACCACCAGCATCCGTCTTATTCCCGGTCGCCCACTTCACCTTCTTGTAGCCCAATTTCCCAATCAAAGGCGCATAAACTTTCTCAAGATCCACACCCTTACTGAAAAAATGATCCAACCACAAATACCCTCCACCTCTCAACACTCTATCAACATCAAACAACAAAAACTCCAACATTGTCGCCGGAATCCACCTGTTCACCGCCCGCCCACACCGAACTATATCCACAACACCGTCGAAAATCGGCAGCCTCTGCTGCAACGGCACATGAAGTGGCACAAGCCCCCTCAACGCAACAGCCTCGCTGTAAGGCGCCACAACATTCATGGTGGTTGTCACCACAGTAACATTCCGGAGTTTCATCGCAGCGGCGAATGATCCTGTACCTCCACCGACGTCGAGGCCGAGCCGGAGAACCGATTTAGCCGATTTCGCGATTTGGAGAAGCTGTTGAACGGGCAGATCCAAGTCGGAAGTGTAAGTGGTGAACTTGGAAGTTTCACGAGAGGGTTGGAATCCGAGATTAGGGTTTTGACGGTTGAGACAATCGAAGGATTTGCATGAGTAACGATCCCAAATGACAGAGGAATCAGGGAGAGAAGAGGGGAAAGGGTTATGAGGAAACGAACTCGACGGAGTTTGCTTCTTCGGCGTCGGAGAGAAGCAACGACGGCGAGGGAGAGGGTGACAACCGCGAAGAATTAACGATTCCGCAAGTTCGGAATCGGAAGGACAAAGAGAGAAGGGTGTGTAGGTCATGTACTTGTGAAGAAGATCAGGGTGATTGTGGCAGGAAGAAGCAATTGGAGAGAGGTGTGAGTATAGCAATAGATCTGAAGGGATTGAGGATTTGGTGTTGGGATTGGGGTTGGTGTCTTGGAGGCGCGTGAGGTGGTTGATGGTGGCGCGTATGGTGTGAAGTTGACGGAGGAGTTCGTCGGGGATTTGTGGAAGTGGTTTGGGGGAGGATTTGGGAGATTGGAGTGTTGTGGAGAGATGGTAGAGTGAGAGAATGTTGGTGGCTACCATTGCTATTAGGAGAAGAAGATTCAGAGTCATGGTGCTGAATGTGAAACCCATTTTTGGTTTGGTTTCTTTCTTTGGTTTTCTTCTTCTGCTAAGCTCAGACTCAGAGTGTGTGTAACTCACTCACACTGTGTTGTGTTTGTCTTTGACTTATTTTGTGTAATTGGGATTTGAGAACCTAGTATAATGATTTTAAGATTAACAAGTGGGGTTTGTGGACTAATTGGAATTAAGAGTATTAATTTCATGTGAGTGAGTGATACTGGGAGTAGTTGTATAGTGTCAGAGTTTATCTATCCTTGTGGTGCTAACATTTATGATCTGTGATTAGTACTGTATTATGTGGGACCAATGTGGGTTTTAAGTGTTTACTCTTTTGATGTGAATCTAATTTTAGAATTTATGGATGCTTCTGTATTTTTTTAATGAACCATGAAGACAAAAGAATTGGGTTTTCAGCTATATAGCATGTACAGTAACGTGTCTTCGACTCTTTATGCATTTCTTTTTCTTTTCTTTTTTTTACGCAATTCTTTTAAGTTGTGAATTTTGTAACTTAAAAACAACATGATGCACGTGAATTTGGTCAAGATGGATTAGTTTGGAGCGTTTAATCTTTATTTATTTGTGCTGCCTTTCAGAACTTTAGACTAATTGTAGACTCCTCCACTAAGATAATGTTAACCGTGTTTGAAGGAAGGGTGGTAACTTGCAAGTAAGAATCGAAGTAATAATACAAATAACTTTTTTTTTGGTCTTTATAATACAAATAACTTTTCTGTTTTTTAATCAGTCATAGTAAATTTGACATAATATAGATATATTTAATATTAAATTTTCATATTTTAGAATAAGTTTAAGTGTAATTTTAGTTCTCCATTTCTCCATTTTTTAAAGAATTAAATATGTATTAAGTCTCTTTAAATATATATATTTTTACTTTTAATTTTTTTTTTAAATTGTTAAAGAATCATCATTATAATATTTGTCATTGTCACTTTTCGTCTTTCACGATAGATATGTCTAAAAGAAAATGCATAAGCATTAGTTCCAATATTGTCTTCAAAGACAAACTCAACCAATATACCACATATGTCATCCTCATCTGTAAAAACCCGTGGTGGATATTTGTGCGGTTGTCGAAATCGAATGATATTGTATCAATGCAAGAAGAGACTCAACAAGAAAAAGCTTTTTTTTTTTAGATTTACATTTTGGAGAGGTGATGGCGTATGTGATTTATTCATATTGGATGAAGATATTGAGCAAAAGTTGGAAACGAAGATTGGAGCAACATGATTGAAGTTATGGGTTATTTGAAGTAGTTGTATGAAGATTCAAAGAAGAAGAAAAAGAGTTTGAAGAACAAACTGAAATAAGAGAAACGTCATGTGTTGTAATCTCTTTTATGTTTAATGTGTACTTTGTGTTCAAATGTAAATGTTGAATTATTGTGTTAATGATTAAGAGGCATTGTTGTGTTATTGTAAATGTTTAACTTTATGTATGGACAATGTTTGATAATGGAATGTTGGATTTGGTTAAAGCATTGTTATGATTTGCACATATTTGGCACAGTAAGACCTAATTGTTGGACTGAAATTGGCTAGTGTTGGCACAAATTTGGCATAGTAACGTTTAAATGTTGGCTTAATGTTGGCACAAAGTTGGAAACTTATTATGATCGGTGACGGAGCCAGAAATTTTGAGTTGTGGGTTCAATATAAATATAACATTTCATATTCAAAAATATAAATATACATTACAATTGTTCTCTACAATTTTTCATGTTTTGAAAATGTTGAATGATTTTCTCATTTTCAACGTCAACATAAATATCTCTCTCAATATAAGTAACTAAGAAACCATTTAACCATTCATCACCCATGCGATTTCACATTTGATTCTTGATAATATTCATAGCAAAGAAAGTTCTTTCAGTTGTTGCAGTTGTCACCGGTAATATCATAGATAACTTTAAAAGCAAATATACCAAGAGGTACACAACATATTTTTTGGTCTCTACGAGCTTGATAGAAAGATCACCAATCCCCTCTAATTTTGAAAATTCAGTGTCAGGGCATACATCTAAGAAATAGTTTTCAATATGACAATCTAGTTTCAATAATTGAACTTGGGAAAACTCTTAAGGATAAAATTGAGCTAAATAAATCAATATCTCCTTATCAAACGCAGGAAATTAATATCTTGGACTTAAACAAACTACAAAAAGCATCAACTCAATATTCACTTCTGTAAAACGATTATTCAACTCTTTAAGTCGTCGATCAATCACTTCATAAAACAATTCAACTTGAAAACGATGTAAATTAGATACTTTCTCTATTTTTCTCTTTGACTTTTTTTTGTGCAGGTTGAAAAGTGTCATCCATATTTCGAATGTCAATATCATTATGCTCACAAAATAATGAAACATCATTCAACAAGGAATCCCAGCCATTATATGTTATAGCTTGTGGCCTTATTTTGGACACTTTTACTAACTTCATAGTATTTACAATATCTTGATCACTTCTTTATAATGCTTGAGATAAATCATGTGTAGTTCCTAAAACTTTTATCATCAAGTGCAAGATGAAAATAAATTTAAAAGATTGCATATAATTCATCAGAATTAGTGCTTTACCTTTTTATTTAAATTTGTTCCATTTTCTTCAACCACTTATAGCACATTAATCTTAGAAGAGAATAGAGAAACTATTCTAAGTAATGTACCATAATATGAGTTCCATCTTCTTTTCCATGCCTTCTTAATTGTCATTTCTTGATTCAAGTCACGCCCACTAGAGATTTCTCCATGTTCCAATGTTTCTTTCACCTTTTTAGCTTTACTTTCACAAATAATATCTCAGTGTTTACATGATGCTCCAACAACATTATTCAAATTAGAAACCAAATTAAAAATAAAGCAATTTTATAATGTTTTTTGGCTAATGTCACAAGAGCTAATTGGAGTTTATGGGTAAAACAATGAATAAAAAATGCATAACAACTCTCTTTTAAAATCAAGCTTTTAAGACCATTGTATTTACCTTGCATATTGCTTGCTCCATAATATCCTTGTCCATATATCCTTGATGTAAGTTTTGTGATTAGCGGCAATTTTGTTAAAGCAAGTATCACAACAAGATGTTGAGCAAGATGTCTTGACATGTTGGCCAGACGTCATTGATGGTCGGTACGATGTCATGACATGTTATACTAGGTGTTAGGATTTTATGTATTTGGAAGATTTGTTTTTAAAGTGTGAGGTTCTATATGGTTTTAGTTCACGCTCTATCGCATTCCAATGAGGGTTATTTTAGGAACATCAATTTTGCGCCAAAAGTACATTTGTCTTATAAAAAGGAACTTGAAGACTTTTTAGGCAACTGTTGTTTTAGGAGATGCATTTTATTTAGATATAGAGCCCAAACCCGTGCTAATCTAAAGTTATAAAAAGAGTTATTATAAACCTAATGGATCATTGAAGCCATATATTGACAAAAAGACTTTTAGGGTTTAATGTGTTTTTGTCATTTGTGATCCACTCTTATATCACTTTGATATCTGAGTTGAAATGTGTTGATTGTGCATGTGTGAGCCATTCGTGTATCTTTTAGGTATTTGAATTGGATTGTGTTTGAGTTGTAATCACTCGTAAGCTTTTAAGTAAGAGTGGATTTTGTGTCATTGGAAGTGTGTCTTCTATTGTTCATTGTTCTTGGTTTTATCATTGTTGTGTGATTGAAGGGAAATGAAAGGGGTCTCATATCTAGGAATGTCTTAGATAAAAATAGCACGAGTAGTTATTAGGTGCGAAGTTTGTAAAACCAGAGGTTGTTTATAACTTCAAACTAATACTATTATAGTGGATTTCCTTCCTGACTTGGATGCCCCCCAGATGTAGGTGATGTTGCGCTGAACTGGGTTAACAATTGATTGTGTTATTTACATTCAACCATTTACTTTAACTGCATAATTGTTTGTGTTGTCATATTGTCCTAAACCCGGTGTGGTGACATCTTACTCAACATCTAGTGTCTGATTACCATAATTTCAATTGGCATCAGAGCAGGCATCCTGTTCTGTTTAGGGTGAGCTCTAGGGAATTTTTGTTATGGTACTATGGAAAAGGAAGGAGGAAGAAATGTTAAGTCTTAGATGGCATCAACTAATACTATTAGAAGGCACGTATGGTGGCTTTCCTAAAGTCTATGGATAATAAATCTTGGAAACCTATCATCAAGGGTCGGGAACACCTTGTGGTTAAGGAAAAAGATGGGAATGAGACTTCGAAGTCAGAAGAGGATTGGACACAGGAAGAAGATGAAACTGCTCTTGGAAACTCCAAAGCTTTAAATGCCTTATTCAATAGAATTGACTAAAACATGTATACGTCAATAAACACTTGTACTGTGGCCAAAGATGCTTGGGAAATTCTCAAGACCACTCATGAAGGCACATCTAAGGTGAAACAAATTATCAGATGCATAACAATTAAGGCCAAAATAAAATACACCTGCACAAATAGCACGAAAATTAATTGCTGAAACATCAGCTCAAATACAAAAGATACAAGAAACAAAATGAGCCAAACACCCCAACCAAACTGCTGCCAAAAAACATCTAACACCCATACCATAATGCTGCAACCAAATTGGAAAAGCGAGATAACCAAAAAAGCTCCAAAGCTGTCAACGGATAAACCACCTATTTCACAATTGTGAGCAATAATGCTAACTTGCAGATAGATAACACGGCACCGACAAAAAACCGAGCCACTCCAATAACACCCCCACTACAAGATCCAATATCTCCTGCTTATTAACACTACAACCGCAAAATATAAGGCATAGTTGCAGCACCCAACTCACATGAACACACCATCCAATGCATCAAGCACCCTATATATGCCCTAACATATATACCTGTACAATAACGCCCGTCTTTTTAAATTAAATTATTTATGAATTGTTGATGTGCCTTTATGTGGGAGTGTGGCTGAGAGAGTGGGTGGATGTCCTTAAAGTATAGGAAACCATTTAATAAAT